GGAAAGAACGCAAACACAAAAATAGATGTAAGAAATACACACACATATAACACACATACATGCTAAGCCCAGATAAAAAAAATATCCAACCCTAAGGACATTTATATTAGATCTTAGGCCCATCAAGATAATTCAGCAGGCCCACTTAATTACCAAGACAAAAAAGAGCCCAGGCCTAATTAACGGACTAGAAGTCTAGATTATCTTCTACCACCACTTTACTTGTTGCAAATGGGGCTGTCATCGCATGTTAAGTTTCTTATCAGAGTTCTTAAAACTAGTCAAGCCTAATTCATTGATTTGAAAAAATTAATGTTTTATTATCGTAAATTTAAATAATATAATCTTTTTTTTTATAGTTGAGGTTTATTTTATTATAAAAAGTTATATTGGGATATTTTTGATTATTCCTCTAGAGTTTTTAATTATATTTGTTTCATTCTTTGTTATTATGTAGAACACACTACGTTGTTTTTTTATTATGCTATTTGTGTCTTTTTAGGTTATTATAAAGATAAAAAGAGGTATTGTTATTTTGATCCAATAACTCATAAATTTTATATGTCTCGTCATGTTGTTTTTCTTGAGCATATATCTTTTTTTTTTTATTCTATCTAATACTCATAACTTGACTAGACCTGATATTATTCATATAGATTTTTTTTTAGAGGATTTTGATAATATATCATCACATGTTCCTAGTACCTCAGATACCCTTTCCATGTTCGACCAATTTATTTTCATCATCCTGTAAGTATTAATACTTTACTCTCTAGTAGATCTAAAACTCTATTTTCATTTATAGCTCCCTAAGCTTCGTTTGAGATTGTGGATCAACCTTTACGTCAATCCATACATATTTGTAAGTCCATAAAACTACTAGATTTTTTTTATTCTTTTTATTCTTCATCATTTATTTTCTTTTTAATTTCTATTCATTGTCTTTCCGAGCCCTCTTTATATAAAGAGGCTATTCTTAACCATTTTTTGCAGCAAGCTATGGATAAGAAAATTTCTACTTTACATAAGATAGATACTTGGAATTTGATTCTTCTAACTCTTGGTAAGAGTGTTGTTAGTTGTCGTTGGATGTATAAGATCAATACCAACTTGGATGGGTCTATTGAACGATACAAAGTTAAATTAGTTATAAAAGAATACTCTTAACAGTATAGTATAGATTATGAGCAGATATTTGCTCGTATTATAAAAATGACTACTATCCATACTTTTATTGTCGTAGCTTCGGTTCGTCAATAGCATATTTTATAACTTGATATTCAAAATGCTTTCTTGAATGAAGATCTACAAGAATAAGTTTATATGGTGCCTCCTCTTGGTTTTTCACATGACTTGGGCTTTTTTGGTATATTTTTTTATTGATTTAACTTCATTCTTTTTATAATGTTATTTTTTTATCTTAATTTTTTTATCCTAATCTCATTTTACAGGTAGTGGGTTAGTCAAGTTAACTCAGGTTAACTCAAATTTCGTTTTTGATATTTAATTTTTTTTTTAATTTTATCTTTTAACGTTAGATTATTGAACTTTGAGTTTGACTTGGATTGAGTTTGTTTTTGAATCATTTGAAAAATTAATCTGGTCAAATTTAAATGACTTGATTGGTCAATTCACAACCTAGATGATCAGCCAAACTCTTGATACCTATTTAATATTTTTTTTTAAATTATTCAAAAGTATATCTTTTTTTTTTTAATTTTTATAAACAATATTATTTTATCATTAAAAAATCAAATAGATGCGACTAAACTTATCCTACTAAACTTATACAACCCATTATCTTGAACCTTGGACCAGATCATGGAACCAATTTATCTAATAACTATGCCACCAACAACAGCAAAAAAACATACCATGAAGGGGAAAAAGAAAAAAACAATTCAGCTTTGGTCATGTGCAATTTCTGTGACCATAAATCACATATCACTCACCAAATTTTCTAAAAGCACGGACCTCGAAGTTTATTTAGTACAACATATGACCATAGAAATCACATTCATATTACTGCAGATAGGCCTCAATAATTGATGGAAAGCAGGAATATTGAAGATTTTGTAGCGAGGAAACCCTCCTTCCTCTAATAATTTCTTCCATTCAAGTTCAGTACTCTCTTTTCCACCTGTGCTGTGTGCAAACATCACTAGATCAGACACCATTCCCATATCACCAAATTGGCCATTTCCTTCTGGTTGCAGAACAATCTCCACTAAAATCAGCTTTCCTGTCTTCTCAGTCATTGCTGTCCGATAGTTTTTTAATATCTTTACACAACATTCATCTCCCCAATCATGCAATACCCACTGAATTAAGAGAATAAACAAGAACAAAGATGTTAGACAAGACAGCAACATGAAAATCGCAATAAAGGGACGCTTAAATACCTTCATAAAAATTGAATCAGCAACAGGTATGGCCTCAAAAAAATTGCCTCCAACATGTGACACCCCATTATATGCTGGTGCTGCGGCCACAACATGTGGTAATTCAAAGTTTATGCCTTTGATGTGAGGATAGGCTTTGACAATCTCAGCTAAATTTCCTCCTGTACCACCTCCAACATCCGCCAACGTCTCAACATCATCAAAACCACCTTTATAATGGGATACAACTGCCCTCATAATGATCTTTGCAGTGCATGCTAAGGCATCATTGAAAATCCTGTTGAATTCAGGATTTTGGGAGGCCAAGTCCCAAGTTTCACAACCATGAGCTTTCTTAAAAGCTATTCCACCATCCTTGACACATTGGCTGAGGTAATGCCATGGTGCTAGGTGCGATGGATAGTTTTGCATCAGAACCATTGCAGCAAGGCTTACCTCCGAGTCACGTAATAGCCATTTTGAATTGTCGGTTAGACGATAGAGAGTCTCTCCTCCATTAGATGGATTGTGTTGTGTGAAGACTCGTTTTCGGACCAGAAATCTCATGATCGAGCAAGGAAGGGAATGTCAACAGAAGGTGAGTCAATTCCTGAACCCCCCCTCAAAATAAATAAATAAATAAATAAATAAAATGAGATGGACGACTATATAGAATTATTCTGAGTATGGAAAAAACGAGTGGAAATTGTAAAGAACGTGAAGCTATCTGGTTCAAAGTGAGTGGACCATCAAGAGAATTTATGATGTCTACTATGCCTATCTCTATCGCACACTTCAATGCCATAGATTCTACAAAGCCAAACACGAGCTGCCATACTTCTACTTGGCCTCTCAGTAATGTCTCTTCGTCTATTGATCCCATTCTCTCTGTCAACACTGGTTAAAAATGTTGCTCTCCACAAAAAGCTTTGAGATGAGGGGAATATTTATAAGAAAAATGGCGAATCAAGTAAACATTAACTCACAAAACTTGGATAAAAATAAAATGAGAACTTTCAGAATTTGTTAGAAAAAATCATAAAAAAACCATTTAGACAAATACTGTAGTAATTCACAGTGTTTTGTGAGAAAAGCTACAACGCTTTTCCCATGTGATTTAGCTTTATTATAATTATAATTTTTAACCAACTCAATATTAAATTTTTTTTGACAAAGATAATTTTAGAATAAATTATATAGGAAAATACTATAGCAATTCACATTATTTTAAAGAAAAAATTTTAAAAGCTAAATTCTTAGTAAGCTTAATATTAAAAAAATATAATCAACAGAGACAATTTTAGAAAAAAAAAATAGGAAAAAAAAACCATGTTGGAAACATTATAGCAATTCATAGTGTTTTATGATGAAAGCTATAGTGCTTCCCCACATGATTTAGTTTTATTTGTAATAACTTGTAATTGTAATTCTTAACCAGCTCAATATTAAATAAAATAAAATTAACAAAGATAATTTTAAAAAAATCATAAGAAAAAAAATCATGTTGAGAGACATTCTAGCAATCCATATTATTTTGTGAGGAAAGCTACAATACTTTCCTACATGATTAAACTTTATTACAAAGTTAAATTCTAACTAACTTAATATTAAAAAAATAAAATTGACAAAGATAATTTTAAAAAAAATATTACAAAAAAAACACCAAAGAAACTGGGAAAAAACCATGTGGAAAAAAACACAATGGCAATTCACAGTAATTTGCGAGGAAAGTTATCGTACTTTTCTCACATATTGTAACTGTAATTTTTAACCAACTTAATATTAAAAAATAAAAGAAAAAAATAATTTCATAGAAAAAAAAACCATGCGGAGAAACACTGTAATAATCAACAATGTTTTTTTAAAAAATTACAAAACTAAATTCTCATTCAGCTCAATATTAAAAAAATAAAATTAACAAAAATAATTTTAAAAAATAAAAAAATAAAATATAAAAACCATGTAGAAAAACACCGTAGTAATCTACAATATTTTAAAGGAAAAAAATTACAAAGTGAATTTTTAACTGGTTCAATATTAATAAAGTAAAATTGACAAAGATAATTTTTTTTTAAAAAAAGAGGAAAAGTTGGAAAAAAAGGAAAGTAATTTTGGGAAAAAATAAAAAATAAACCAAAAAAAAGGTTGAAAGTTGAAGAAAAAGAAAACAATGAAAAAAAAGTAAAAAAACAAAGAGGAATGCATTGTGGATTACTGTTATAATTTACAATGCATTGGGCGTGAGTGAACAGTGAATCACCCACACCCGTTAGTTTATTACTTAAAAATGAATTGCGGGAGGCATTTAACAATGAATGATTTGAGTAAATATAATCTAAAAATTCTTGACACTACTAGAACATTTATAAATACAAAAGAAAACACTGATGAAATGTTTTCGTTGGTAAATTGTAGTGGATTTTACCAATGGAACTATTATCTCAGTATATACCATGGAAATTATAGGGGAAAATAAGAAATTAAAACAAAGCTAAAAAGCACGATGACATGTTATTTATGCTGACGGGATTACCGACGATATTAGTATTGTAAGTAAAATCTGTCTGTAAACTCGTTCGTAAGCTATTTACTTCTCTCTGATACTATTTATCATGTCAATTATAAAGGTAATCATTGATGAAAAATTCCATTAGTATTTTTCACAAAGCTCTAGAATTGTCCACTTCTCAATTATATAATTAATTATTGTTTTTTACAGACATAATCACCGACTAATTGAAAAGTTGTTGGTGTTACTTGGCAGGTTTCTGAAAATTTTAAATTAAATATTATAAACAGAATCACTGGTAGATTAAAAAGTTATCAGTAATATTCCGTAAGTATTAATATTTAATTATCCATCGGTAAAACTATCAGTAAAATGACCCAATCAACTTCTCTTTCTTTTTCTTTTTTTTTTCTCTTTTCCTCCACGCTTAGGTATGTCTCTTTTCTTCTTAGTCTTTTTTTTAATTAATGTACTTTATGAAATTTTCTTTTCCTCTTCTCAGCTTCACTCAAATCTACATTAAGATAAGATTTTTATTTTTCATTTTCTTATTTTTTTTTATGTGTTATATTTGTTATTTTATTTTATTTTTAAATTTTAATGTCCATAATAATTGTATGAATGTTGTTGTAGGATTTGTTTTTTCCTGATATGAGATCAATTCTTAATTGATTTATTTATAGGAGTTTTAAATTTTTAGCAAATGCAACTTCATTTTTCACATATGAAATTATTTTTAGTTGATTTATTTATTTGTTTTTGTTGATTAGTTTTTTTTGTTATTTATTTATTATAAATTTGTTTGAGTTGATTTTCTTCTTCTTTTTCCCAAGCAACTCAATTATGAGTATTATAGAGTGTTGATTTATATTAATTTAATTATTTCTTAGTTTTGTTAAATAGAGTTTTTTTTTTAAATATTTTTAAAAAATTACTTACGGAATTGCATATGGTATTTTTGTCGGTTATATGACAAGCTTCCTGAGAAAAATACTAACGAAATGAAATGGATAATTTTGTTTTAGCGCCCCTTTTCCATCAGTAATTCCATTAGTAATAATATATTTTTTTTATAACTGTTGGACTTATCGACTACAAACCAAAAATTACTAATGAAAGTTTCACTGATGGAGCAATTCTCTTTGTGATCCTGTCGATAAATTAATTGCTAATGAAATGATAGTACAAATATCGACAAAACATGATGTCAATAAATATAAGTATTTTGGTAGTGTGAAATGACCTTGTGTGCCTCTCCGACAATTGTTTAAAAGTTATAGTGTTCAATTTTGGTCTAATTAATGAATAAGTTCAATTCACATAATTATGTGACTCATTTTTATTGCTATTTGTTTAGCTATTTTAATTTTTTATGATTGAGAATTTTGCTTCGTTATTTTTTAATGTTTGTCTTGTATGGGTTAATCGCAGTCTTATGACTTGAGTCACTCGTTTTGAATATTAGCTCAATTTGAGTTCAATCTTTTTCTAAGTATTTGTTTTAACAAATTGGTTTTTTTTTTTAATTTTATCATTCAACGTTGGGAAATTATACTTTGAGATTCTTGATTTGTTCTATTTTCCTTTTTGTGGGGTTATTATGAGTAATGAGTTAGTTCTGTTAACCCATGTTAACTCATATTTTTTTTTTCAATATTTTATTTTGAAATTTGTTTTTCACTTTCATCCTTGGACATTAAATTATTGCCCCTTGAGCTTTACAATTTTTTCCGCTTTCCTTCATGTAGGGTTATCCCGGGTTTGGGTTAGTCAAGCTAACCAAGGTAGACTCATGGGTTTTTTGGCATTTTTTATTGATTTAACTTGGATATTTTTTTTAAATGTCATTTTTTTTTATTTTTTTATCTCGATCTCATTTCACATGCAGTGAGTTAGTCAAATTAACCTGAGTTAACTCAAGTTTTTTCTTTGACATTTATTTTTAATTTTTTTTTTAATTTTATCATTTAAGATTAGAATATTAGACTTTAATTTTAACTCGGATTGAGTTTGTTTTTAAACCATTTGAAAAATTGATCAAGTCAAACTTAGATGACTAGAAAGGTCAATCCACAACCTATGTGATGGGTCAAAATCTGGATGATACCAATTTAACATTTTTTTTAAATTATTCAAAAGTGCATCATTTTTGTATTTTAATTTTTTTCCTGAAATAATACTATTTTATTAAAAAATCAAATAGATGAGTAAACTTATCCAACCCATTATCTTGAACCTTGGACTAGAATATCATGGAACTAGTCTATCTAATAACTATGCCACCATCAACTGCAAATAAACATACCATGAAGAGGAAATGGAAAAAAAAAAAAAATTCAACTTTGGTCATGTGCAATTTTTGTGACCACAAATCACATATCACTCACGAAATTCTCTGAAAGCATGGACTTGAAGTTGTTAAATAATTAATTCAACCCAATAATTTAAGCTATTAGGTAAGGTTTCAAGATATAATTTATATTATTTTTTAACACATTATTTTAAGTGAAAGTTTTTTAGGTTTGAAACTTGCACAAGCTCATACTATTTTGTGCTTAATTTTTTATCAAATAAATGAGGATGATGAGATTTAAACTCATAACCACTTGGTTATTAAAACTCTGATACTATGCTAAAAAATCAATTCAAGCTATTAGATAAAATTTTAAGATATGATTTATATTATTCTCTAATAAAATTTATTTAGTATAACATATGACTATAGTAATCAAATTCATATTACTGCAGGCAGGCCTCAATAATTGACGGTAAAGCAGGAATATTGATGATTTTGTAGCGAGGAAACCCTCCTTCCTCTAATAATTTCTTCCATTCAAGTTCAGTCCTCTCTTTTCCACCTGTGCCGTGTGCAAACATCACTAGATCAGATACCATTCCCATATCACCAAATTGGCCATTTCCTTCTGGTTGCAGAACAATCTCCACTAAAATCAGCTTTCCTGTCTTCTCGGGCATTGCTTTCCGACAGTTTTTTAATATCTTTACACAACATTCGTCTCCCCAATCATGCAATACCTACTGAATTAAGAGAAGAAACAAGAAAAAAGATGTTAGACAAGACAGCAACATGAAAATTGCAATAAAGGGACGCTTAAAAATTGATCATTTATAAGAAAAATGGTGTATCAAGTAAACATTAACTCACAAAACTTGGACAAAAATAAAATGCGATAACTTTCAAATTTGTTTTTTCCTATTGCCGCTTTTAGGCAAGATTTTCAACTTCTGTGACCCACTAGTTTATTTGAAATCTGCTTTTAATTGTTATTAATCAGCGTCTACCAGATAGCAAATATTGAGTAGATTTGGACATGAGAGGGTTAAAAGCCGTATCAAACTTTTTATTGTTTTATTTGAAATCTGCTTTTAATTGTTATTAATCAACGTATACCAGATAGCAAATATTGAGTAGATTTGGACATGAGAGGATTAAAAGCCCTACCAAACATATCAAACATACTATAGAGATATATAATTAAATTACGGGAGTTAACAATGAATGATCGATTTGAGTTAATATAATCTGAAAATGTTTATGGCATTACCATAAAATTGATAAATATAAAATAAAAAACTAATAGAATGTTTTTATCAGTAAATTGTTGTGGATTTTACTGATGGAACTATTATCTAGGTATATACCAAGGGAATTACAAGAAAAAAGAAGGAATTAAAATAAAGTCAAGGGAATTACAAGGAAAAAGAAAGAATTAAAATAAAGTCAAGGGAATTACAAGGAAAAAGAAAGAATTAAAATAAAGTCAAGGGAATTACAAGGAAAAAGAAAGAATTAAAATAAAGTCAAGGGAATTACAAGGAAAAAGAAAGAATTAAAATAAAGTCAGAAAAACACGATAACATGTTATTTATTCTAACAAGATTATCGAAGATATTAATACTCTAAGTAAAATCCGTTCATAAACTCATCAATAAACTATTCACTTCTCTTTTATACTATTCATTATATCAATTATAAAGGTAATCATTGTCGGAAAATTCCATCAATATTTTTTACAAAGCTCTAGAATTGTTCACTTTTTAATTGGACTATTAATTATTATTTTTTATAGATAAAATCACCAAATGATTGAAAAGTCGTCAATGTTATTTGACAGGTTTCTGAATATTTTTTTATTAAATCAAAATTGTTAATTAAATATTATCAATGGAATCATTAACGGATTGAAAAGTTATTAATACTATTTGGCAATTTATCAAAATTTAAATTGAATTTTTTTAATGGTTAAAATATTAATATTTACTTATCTATTGGTAACATCGTTAGTAAAATGTCCCAATAAAAAAGACTAGAATCCCTCTTTTCACAATAAACAATCCTATTCTTTTTTCTTTTCTTCTTCGTCCCTTTATGTAAAAAAATCAACTTCCCTTTCTTTCTTTCTTTTTTCTTGTCCTCCACACTCATCTATATCTCTTTTCTTCTTTTCTCTTCTTAGTCTTTTTTTAATTAATATAATTTATGAATTTATTTTTTTGTTTTCTCTTCTCAACTTCACTCAAATCTACATTAAGGTAAGATTTTTATTTTTCATTTTTTTAATGTTTTTTTGCATTATATTTGTTATTTTATTTTTAAATTTTAATGTTCATAATATTTGTATGAATGTTGTTGTAAGATTTTTTTTCTCATATGAGATCAATTCTTAATTAATTTATTTATAGGATTTTTAAATTTTTAGCAATCACAACTTCATTTTTTTCATATGACATTATTTTTAGTTGATTTATTGATTTGTTGTTGCTGATTACTTTTTTGTGTTATTTATTTATTGTAAATTTATTTGAGTTAATTTTCTTCTTTTTTCCCAAGCAACTCAATTCTGAGTATTAAGGAGTGTTGATTTATATTAATTTAATTATTTTTTGTTTTAGTTAAATAGATTTTTTTTAAAAAAATATTTTAAATTTATATTAATTTAATTATTTTTTATTTTAGTTAAATAGATTTTTTTTTTTAAAATATTTTTTAAAAAATCATTGACGGAATTGCATATGATATTTTTATCGTTTATATGACAAGCTTCCCGAGGACAACACTAACGAAATGAAGTGGGTAAATTCTTTTTTAGCTCCCCTTTCCCATCAATAATAATTTTTTCATTACCAATGGACTTACCAATGACAGTCCAAAAATTATCAATGAGAGTTTCATCGATGAAGCAATTCCATTTGTGATCCTGTCGGTAAATTAATTGTTGATGAAATGATAGTACAACTACCAATAAAAAAAAATTCTATAGGTAAATATAAAAATTCTAGTAGTGTGAAGTGACCTTGTTTGCCTCTCTGACAATTGTTTAATAAACATAGTTTTCAATTTTGGTTTAATAAATGAATAAGTTCAATTCGCATGATTATGTGATCTATTTTGATTGTTATTTATTCAGTTGTTTTTTTTTTCATGATTGAGAATTTCACCTTGTTATTTTTTCATGTCTGCCTTGTATGGGTTAATTGCAGTCTTGTGACTTGAGTTATTGGTTTTGAATATTTGCCTGGCTTGAATTCAATCTTTTTCAAGGTTTTTTTTTATAAATTGTTTTTTTTCAATTTTATCATTCTCTTTTTTTTTTGGGTTATGCCGATCTCATGTATCAGGTAGTGAGTTAATCATGTTAACCTGTGTTGACTCATATTTTTTTCTTAATATTTTATTTTGAAATTGATTTTTTTTATTTTAATCATTTGACATTAAATTATTGTTCCTTGAGCTTTGTAACTTTTTATGTTTTCTTTCATGCAGGGTTATCCCGGGTTTGAGTTAGTCAAGTTAACCCAAATAGACTCGGGGTTTTTTTGGCATTTTTTTTATTAATTTAACTTCGATATGTTTTTTCAATGTCATTTTTTTATTTTTTTTATCCCGATCTCATTTCATATGTAGCTGGTTAATCAAGTTAATCAGGTTAACTCAAGTTTTTTCTGATATTTATTTTGAAAATAATTTTTTTTTTTTAATTTTAGATTAGATTATTTAACTTTGAGTTTGACTCAGATTGAGTTTGTTTTGTTTTTGAACCATTTGAAAAATTAATTTAGTCAAACTTAGATGATCTGAGGGGTTAATTCACAACCTACGTCATGTGTCAAAGTCTGGATGATATCAATTTAATATTTTTTTAAATTATTCCAAAGTACATCATTTTTGTTTTTTAATTTTTTTACAAAAGAATACTGTTTTATTAAAAAATCAAATAGACACAAGTAAACTTATCCAACCCATTATCTTGAACCTTGGACCAGAATATCATGGAACCAGTCTATGTAATAACCATGCGACCAACAACAGCAAAGAAACTTACCGTGAAGGGGAAAAAGAAAAAAACAATTCAGCTTTGGTCATGTATAATTTTTGTGACCGTAAAGCACGTATCCCTCGCCAAGTTTTCTAAAAGCACGAACCTTGAAGTTTATTCGGTACAACATATGACCATAGAAATCAAATTTATATTACTGTAGATAGGTCTCAATAATTGATGGTAAAGCAGGAATATTGATGATTTTGTAGCGAGGAAACCCCCCTTCCTCTAATAATTTCTTCCATTCAAGTTCAGTACTCTCTTTTCCACCTGTGCTGTGTGCAAACATCACTAGATCAGACACCATTCCCATATCACGAAATTGGTCATTTCCTTCTGGTTGCAGAACAATCTCCACTAAAATCAGCTTTCCTGTCTTCTCAGGCATTGCTTTCCGAGAATTTTTAAGTATCTTTACACAATATTCATCTCCCCAATCATGCAATACCCACTGAAATAAGAGAATAAACAAGACAAAAGATGTTAGACAAGACAGCAACATGAAAATTGCAATAAAGGGACACTTAATTACCCTCATAAAAATTGAATCAGCATTAGGTATGGACTCTGATAAGTGCAAAATATATGTATGTTTTTACTCATTCTAGACCATGTTTTTTAATGTATTTTGAGCTTATGTGAGTTTATTGAAAGTTATTTTTATAAGTTTGACATATCCAAGAAACTTTGTAAATTAATTGTTAAAGATAACAAATTCTGCATTTTATGTCTTGGATCTAGTTTCTTGCGAGAGGTTTTTCGCCAAGTTAGGGTTTCGGAATGAGAATACACGCTTAATCTAAATCAAAGTGCACATGTGAAGCTTTCTAGGGAGGTATTATGGTAAAAAAATCCAATCTCATTTGGATATTGAATAAGACCTGCAAACTTAGACTAAAGTCCTTCTTGCTGCAAGATTTTCTATTTTCATATTAGATATTCAAATGAGAATATCTTAAGTTTTTGATATCAAAATTAGACGATTCAAAAACCTAAATTCATCTACACATCCAAAAATAAAACTTTCATGAAAGACTCTAAGTCATATAAAATCATTTTGAAAGACAGAATCTAAACGTAATTTGATTGGTTAAAATGAATATTTTGATCTGATTCAAAAACTAATAGTGCCGAGCACCTTAATACAACTGAGAGTCTGACATAAAAAAGGTGAGCCTTAGGATTCAAGAAAGGTGCAAATTAATCCTTTAACATGTCATAAATAAAAGAATAGAGCTAGAATAATAGGATATTGTATGAAACCAAGTCAGAATTAAAATTTAAATTGTGATAGAATTGGTATTACAGCAGAAACATGGTAGTAGCAAAATCAATTTTCAACAAAAATTTTTACAGGATAATCCAATCTTAGAGACCAGATAAAGAATAAATAAATTTAATATCATTAGAACTTCTAATTAGACTAAGAATCATGAAGAAATTTGGTAACTAAGGAAAAGAATAAATATAATAAAACATAGGTGAAGCAAAGTTGAAATATATTACTTTTTGTTTTTTAATTTTTATCTAAAACAATACTAATTTATAAAAACAAACACGTGTAAACTTATCCAACCCATTATCATAAACCTTGGACCAAATCATGGGACTAGTCTCTCTTATAACTATGCCACAGACAACAGCAAAGAAACATACCATGAAGGAAAAAAAGAAAAAAAAAATTCAACTTTGGTCATGTACAATTTCTGTGGCCATTAAGCACACAACACTCGCTAAATTTTCTGAAAGCGCGGACCTTAAAGTTTATTTAGCACAACATATGACCATAGAAATCAAATTCATATTACTGCTGATAGGCCTCAATAATTGATGG